GGAGGGGGCGTGGCCGGGGGGTTGATGCGCGGGGAGAGGAGGATGGAGGGAGCGAGGCTGCGGGGTTGATGCTCGGCCGCAGCCCTGGGGCTCCGCGCCGCGCCCGGGGGGCGAGGAGGGGGATGGAAAGTGGGGGCACGTCCCGCTGAGGCCGGGCCGGGCGGGAGCATCGCCCCCTCCCCGCCTTCCAGCCTCCCCCCAGCTGCAGGTGAGGAGGGGGGCTCGGGCTCGGCCGCGGCGTCGCATCCGCCGTGCGCGGAGCAATTGGTTCACACGGAAAGTTTGATCTCTTAAAGAACCGTTTTAGCTTTCCAGCTCCTCTGCCAGGACGGAGAACCGCTGATCCTCCATGAATATTTCAGCACTTCAGGACAGATGCTTTACCGTGTTGACGTTAAATAGAGCGCAGCCAACAAAAAGAGAGGGAGAGGCAGAAAGGAGCGCTCTCGACGTGCGATTCAGGAGCACTCGCAGCCAATTTACCGCTTAGATAACAGGCGTTTAAAAGATTTCCTTTCCATCCCCGGAACGGGGACAAACTTTACTGATCCCCAGACCGGCAGAGAGGGAGAACTGTTGGGAAAGAAACCGCGGAGCAACGACAGACGCCGGCTTACCCAGCCCGGCCTAAGCCCCCTCAGCTGCAGAATCTGGCGCTGTGGGGGGAGATCGAAAGATTCCGAAGGACGGAGCTGACACAGGACAAGCAGATCTGTTCTTGCCTCCCATCCTCCTCGTCCACCTCGTCCATCCCACCCTTGGGGGTCCCCAGCCACGCGCTAAACCACCGCCACCTCCCCGCGCCCCCCTCCAGAAGGAAATAAATAAGAGTACAATGCGGGATATATTTGTAAAGGCAACGATAAACCCTACCGAGACGGCACCCAGCCAAATCCTATACTTCAGCCCGCAAAGTTTCTAGCGAGACCTGTTAGTGTAAGGACTGAATAAAGGAATCCGGGTGCGGAGATCAGATCAAGCCCTTCCCCTCTCTGCCAGCAGCCGTAATTGGATTGTATCCAGTCATATTCCCTGTCATTGTATTGACTTTCGCTCTCTTGGATGATATTATCGAGATCACTGAACCCCTCTGCTGATCTGGCTGTCAAAAGGCTCAGACAGGAGCCCCCGGCCTGGAAAACGTGCATCAGCCAAGATAATTTGAAGTGAAATTTTCATTTTGACAGTAAACCCCTCAATTTCTAAAGGCTCTGCACCCGGAGAGCTCGGTGGCAGGGGGAGGCTTTACAGAAAGCCCACGTCTTAAACTGAAAAGGGCAAAAGAACTCGAATTAGTTGTAATAGATAAAAGGGCAAAAATAAAGAGTCAAGGGTACTTGACAGTAATAGCAAAGTGGCGTCTCGGGGGAGCCGCGATCTCAGCTAAAGGCAGGGCCGGCAGGAATTTTAATGCAGCCGGGGCGGCCGGCGAGCTTTGCCTCTGAAACCCTTTAGACAAAGCAAATTATTTGCAGGCAAACTAAGCAGGTGGGGATGAAGGAGCCTCAGCCTCAGAGGCACCCTGAGCTCCGCTCCTGGCCCGGCACCCTCTCGGAGGCCGTTCCGAGCGGGCTTTTGACAGGTGACACGGCAGGGAGTTCCACATTGTCACTGCCCGGCGTGGGCTCGGTCAGAAAGGGGGATCTGGTCAGGTCGCCATCTGGGAGGCAACTCCCCATCCCCCAGAGCCCCCGCCTCAGGACTAAAGGTGAGAGCACCGTGGGCAAAACTCAGGCGCACTGAAGTATCAGAAAGCAAGAGCGAAGCGGATCAAACCTTTATCCCTTCGTTTTCGTGTCACTGTCATTATAAACCAAGTTTGATGAAGTTTCTCTCTGCTAACAAGAGCAGATCACTCCGGACCGGGGGACTGGCCGTGTGTCAAACCGGGTGGGTACAGTGTGTCTGTGGGCCCTCACACATCACGGCATTACCGACCCTGAGAGGAGACTGTATGAATTATGGGGGAGGGAAAACAATTTCTTGCTTTGCTACACCAACCTTATGTCTAGATCAGCCTTCAAACGCAACGTTCTTTCTAGAGTTGGGTTGTGGGGGGGTTTGTTTGGGTTTTTTTTTATTGGGTTTTGGTAAGTATGAACAAAAGAGTGCGAGAAATTAATTTTGCTATTTGATTAAATGGTACAAGTCAAAGCTGAGGTTCAGCTGCGTTAGAGCAGGCTGTAGAGTTGAAAGGGAAAGCCGTGGCAGCTCGTATGGCTGTAAAAAAACCCCAGAAATATAAAGGCAGACTGAGAAAGAAAGAGAGGAGGGGAAAAAAAATCATAGAGAAACGGCTTGAAACTGAGAGACTCTAAATCATTCAGCCATGGCAAATTCAAACACACAAAGGAGGGGATGCTAAATTAACAGTGCTTTTTACATAGAGCCCAAATAAAACTGTAATCAGCGACGCGTTACTTTTCATTAAGCGAGTTTGACAGCAGCATATTCAGCCTCGACAAGGGAACAGGAGCGAAGAAATATACGGCTCTCCCAGCCCGAGTCATAAGATAATTCCTTAAGCTCCATTAACAACTCTTAGCCGCAGGAAATGGGCTCCCTGAAAACATCTCCAAATCTAAAAGCTTTATCGACCTCTCAAACCTCTGCTGATGGTTCTGTTTTTTAAAAAAACTTAGAGGCGAGACGTCCAGCAAGGTAATAGACTTTGACACAACACCTTCTTAACTAGAGAGAGAGAGGCAGGGAAAACGAGACCTTAAATGATATTTAAAAGGCAGCCAATTAAGATTTAAAATGATTGTCTCCTGAGATTACCCATGCGATTTATGTCATCTCCTTTTTTTTCCAGGCATGCATGCAAAATTGCAATGGGGCATATTGCCTGTTATAATAATAATAATAAATAATAATAATAATAGAAACACTAGCAATTAAAAATTTGTAACTATCTCACATAATTGTTAATGATAATTTAGAAAAGGGCTGGTGTTTAGGTAACCTGATTACAGAGCACCTTGCAACATTCAGCTTGTTTATAGGGGCCTGATTAA